ACTTGTATATCAATATGTGTTTACTTGCATATCAACATATGTTTATTTGCATATCTACATGTATTTACTTGCATATATACATGTGTAAAACTTACCGTTCACTGTCGCTAGGCAACCGCCGTTAGTATCACAAAGGTCATTTGTCTAAAACAAATAGATTAAATTATATCAACATTAATAAATTCATATCAGGTTTTCTATAAGATGCTTCAAGTTTCCACTTTTATTCTTCAATACTGATTTTTCATTAATTATCAACTTTTATGCAAATAGATCTTGCTTTTCATTCAAAAAACAAAGAAAGCAAATCGTATCTGTAAATAAACATCTTTATTAAACTACACACGCATTATTTTACTGACCGGAACATCAAAAAAAAAAAAAAAAAAAAAAAAAAGAGATCATAGGCATATAGATCATAATTTTCATGCGAATCAAAACGCAAACACTGTCGTATCAGTTATTCTTTATACACTTCGATTAAATCAACACAAGCATAATTTCACTCACCGGAACATTTTCTAGGGACTCGGAGATTAGTAGCAGATCTGGTAAGACGACTGTAACAAAATGTTTGAAAAAATAATGGTGAAATTAATCATTTTACAAGGTGTAATTTTTACTTATGCATACGTCTACTTAATTTTGTTTATACTTCTGCATTATGTTTATCTACTTATTGCCGATCATAATACATAATAATATGCAATTCCATAAATCATTTATGTTTCATTTTTTAGGAGAAATAATGGGACATAAAGCTGTTTTAAAACATGCTTTTGTTAACGAAATAAATGTTAAGAGATGAAATTAGAAAAGAACAATCCGCTCTGTATTCGTTCTCGAAAATTAACAAAATGACTATAACTAAAGTAAGCTACATGCAAATAAGAAAACATCAGGTATTGTTCAAACTTTTTTTGTAAATTACTTGTCCTTGCATTATGGAAAAACAATGGCAGATAACTAAAAAAAACGAGAACGGTGACTCCAAATTTTTCAGCTTGATTTACATGAATTTATGTTACCAACATACATTGTTCAGATAAGGGTACACAATCGCAAACCTAATTGGAGTTTAATATGACGCAGGCTTAACAGTTGCAACTATAAAGTATCATTTAACACAAAAATATTTATTCATATCGTGAAGGTGATTGAATTGAAGCTCATATTGTTATGTAAGCAACATATTATATGTATATAGTATTATCACTGTTCTGTTTTAAGAACATAAACTACATGTATATACTAAAACTTTCTTAACTGTTGTAGTAAATTCTAGATTATGATTCGTGCATTATATTTAGATAGAAATTTCCAGATTATTCTTTGTTGTTGAAAGTGCTAGATTATGATTACTCTAGAACATAATAGACTTTTCTTGAATGTTCCTAGTTTATATATATTACGGGATATTTTTCATTTCTTTTAACTTTTAAGTCATCAGTTACCTTTTAAGTCATCAATATATTTGGAGTATTACTCAACTTGGATATTAAGTAATTTATTGGAGCTTGGATTTTAAAATAGATTAAATTATTCTTGGGAATTTATTCTAAAGTGTTCTTGGATTTAACTGTTCTATTCAAAAAGGGATAATTCCAGGATCAGATAAGACATTTGAAATATATATTTTTATTTGGATTTCAGGTATTTGGAAACATAAATTGTTATTTAATTTTTCTTTCATAATTTTTCTGTAATAAGTTTGTTATTGTTACAAGTTTGTTATTGGCTTTTCTTTCTCGTTACGCCTGGCTCGTAACAATATATAAATTGATAAATAGATATTACTTTCAACGGCATATTATTTCAAACGCTTCATGCACCTACTGACTCACATTATATAATATATAAAAACACCGAAATTGGTTGCAGTTATCCATTATACATGATAAAATTGTACTTACAAACAAAAACAAACAAATATAATTCCATCATATGCAAAGGTAATAAAAATACCACTTTCTTATTTCCTCTTTAATAGTCTTATACTACCCTTTTGCAAAATTTAGAGAATAAAATAACATAACATTCAGACAGAGAAACTGTTGTAGCAAACAAATCAAATATGCAGTTGCGTTGACACCAGGTCATAAATTATACAAATAGCTGCATTCTTTAGTGACGTCAAACGTCTATAAAAAGTGTTTGCTGAGTATTTTGCAATATTTCCTTTGTAAACTTATCTCCTTTGCAATACAGAAGTTCTAGAAAAATATTCTTTTTGATGTTCTGTGTAGGTAATTTGTCATATAAATGGAGAGAAGTATTTATTGACCAAAAAGTGAAGTTGTGACAAGAGAGGTTTTGTTGTTTTGCTATAAGCTTAAGTAAAAAAACTTTTGAGGTTGTTTTTTTGTTGTTGTTTTTTTTTCTTTTTTCTTTTTTGTTTTGCATGGCTTAATTTACCCTCTTTTTTTAGTGTTGTTTTTGCTATTCAATTTTTAAGTATAAATCTTGTTTAAAATAGTATATACATTTGCCTGCGTATTTTTTCAAGGTTTAATTTAATACTATACACAGAAACACACCTAGTAATTAGATATAATGTAACAGTCTAGGTGTTTCTTTATGTTAATTTCTAAGTTATCATTTCCTTTGTAGTATTGACTATTGTATTGTATTGTATTAACTATTTACCTATTTTCCACCTTTGATTGGTATATATAGATATATTCAATGTTCGTCCTGATAGTGGATTATCTTTCGACAGTTGACTTAGGATTACTTCTGTTTGAAGCAACGTCATTTCATGACGTATGATTAACGTCATTTCATGACGTATGATTAACGTCATTTCATGACGAATGATTAACGTCATTTCATGACGTATGATTAACGTCATTTCATGACGTATGATTAACGTCATTTCATGACGTATGATTTAAGTAAATCAGTAGAGACGATTATTTGAAATTAACGTAAATGCTGACATGTACAATTTTGCCAATGTCTAACTGAAAAAAAAGATATAAATGTAGGGCAACAAGGAAAGATCAGTCAAAATTTCAAAATATCTACGATAATTTTATAAATGTTTCACTTTTTCTTATCTTGTCGGATATAAGGCTGTTTGAGTGAAGAAAAGCATTGACTCTCGAGTTCAAACTAGGTGAGATAACTGTGTTTTTCCTTTTCTATTATTTTCTTCTGCGTATATGCAATTGTGGTTAAGGGAATTACTATAATGATTTTAAAGCAGTAATATATTGAATTTATGTAACTCGTTTTGATGGATGTAATTGTCCCTGTTTTATGTTGTTGTTGTTGTTGTTTTTATATAAACTTACATATGTCAATACTTGTTTTATAACTATTTCAAATTAATTTCATTCTCATATTAGGTATATATAAAATAGTTTTGAATATATTTTTAAACATTCTGAAATCTGGGAAATGCAATATGGCTTAAACAAACACTTAATTATTTTTATTAAATTTATGAATCATATACATAAACTTTCACAACGATTCATTAATATTTTTAAAGTATTAGGTCAAAAGTTATAACAACATTATAAAGAGCCCTCGATTAATGTATTGTATGCAATTTAAACATCAATACAAACAGCGTTCAAAAGACAATAGCATATAGAGAGGAAATCAGATCAGTCGATAATCTGAAATATTGTCGAGCATATATAAAGGGAATCAGATCAACCTATAATCTGAAATATTCACGAGCATATACATTTTATACAGGTTATTAGATCAATCGATAATCTGAAATATTATTGAGCATATAAAATAGAATCAGATCCGTCAATAATCTGAAATATTCTGGAGCATATATAAAGGGAATCAGATCAATCAATTATCTGAAATATTCTCGAGCATATATAAAGGGAAACAGATCAATCAATTATCTGAAATATTCTCGAGAATATATAAAGGGAATCAGATGAATCAATTATCTGAAGTATTCTCGAGCATATATAAAGGGAAACACATCAATCAATTATCTGAAATATTCTCGAGCATATATAAAGGGAAACAGATGAATCAATTATCTGAAATATTCTCGAGAATATATAAAGGGAATCACATCAATCAATTATCTGAAATATTCTCGAGCATATATAAAGGGAATCAGATCAATCAATTATCTGAAATATTGTCGAGCATATATAAAGGGAATCACATCAATCAATTATCTGAAATATTGTCGAGTATCAGATCAGTATATAGGCTTAAATATTCACGAGCATATATAAAGGTAAATAGAAAAATCGAAAATCTGAAAAATTCTAGAGCATATAAAAAGGAATCAGATTAGTGGATAATCTGAAGTATTCTCGAGGCGGTATAGAGTAAATCAGATCAGTCAATATTTTTATATAGTTTAACACAACTCTGATAAGTGTTGAATTCTTAATATCATTATTTTGATAGTAAAGTGATTTTAATTTGTATGTAGATCATACATGACAACAAGCCACGAAAAGATTGGTAAGTGTAAGATATATGATCCGTCATAATATATCTGTAAACAGCAGATACGTATATTGTTCTAGAACTGAATTTTATTTTTCATCATATAAACGTCTGAACGAAACTACCTAACACTGTATTAACATTTATTTTGGTAAATATTCTATTAGAACGTTCAATTGTTTTGCGGCGTGGCCGAGTGGTTAACGCTTCGAATTAGTAATGTAAGGATTGCTGACCGCGTGGGTTCTAACCTCGTCAGGGGAGCAAAATGTTCTTGCCTTTAGCTAGAAACTACACTCATTGCTAAGTACTAGTTAGTGGAATGAATTCGAGAGTGTTTCAATAAGCTTATTGCTTCCAATACAGCCGAACTAATATAAATTCGTATAAACAAAACTAAAACTAAGAACGTTCAAAAAAACACTTCTTTACTTTTTATCAATGCCCGAAAAATTAATGGAAAATCAGAATAGACCGTTCAGAACAATTGAAGCCTTAACATAAATGTATGAGAATAATAAGTGATGTACATGTTCGTTCATTTTTTTACATATTTCAGACGCTGGTATAGCAATGTTACTTCTTGTTGTTATTTCGGTACTTTGTGTCTATAACACAGAAGGTAAAATTTGTTTATTTTAATTTCCTAAAATGTGCCCCATCCATACATGACCTGAAATACCATACATTATAAAAGTAAATACCTTTACCATTAAATCAACACTAAACTGCAGTAGAACTGACAGTACGTTAAATAATCATCAACTTAAATGAATTCCAATGTTTTAAAGTATATATCTATATCCATAAAACAGTAAAATGTTGTTGTTTTCAATTTTTTACTTTTTTGTTTCGTGAAATATTTATAACAGAATGTCTATGTCATTATTTAATATAGTATTACATGAATATTTTACATAAATCAGAATAAAATGCCCCAGAACACAATATTCCGCCACGATTGTTGTAGGTTTGGCGATGATTTCAAGCATGCAATGCTCGCTTTCAATAAAATTACTAAGACATACTTTCATTCTAGGTATTCTTTAATCATTTTAGTCACACTACATACAATAAGTTTACAATCCACACTCAATTAATATATTTATGAACAGCCACATGAGGAAAAACAAACTGTCAAATTGTGTTTACTGAACATACCATATTATAGTGTATGGCCCCTTTGTATTATTTTACCAAACATTAAAAATATGTGCAGTGAATAGGACATACATAATTATAATGCAAAAAATACAATGTATCAAATACACTTGTAGCATTAATTTATTAATTGAACTCTACTATAATAAAATATTAAGTAAGAAATGTGAGGATTTCGTAAGAAAAACGCAATTATGGCTAGTTTTCCTTAGAGAAGACCAGGGTTAATGATCTTGAATAACCCAGCCAAAACAAAAAACAACAACAACAACAACAACAAAAAAGTAGTACAACTCTTTTTATATACATGTATATAGGTTATACACTTAAACGTTTTCAATTTAATTATTTATGTTGCTAAATTATTTATAACAATCATCATATTTAGGAGTTTTGATGTCAGTAAAGCAGCATGCCTCAAGATGAGCGAAAATATTTCGATAATTTAAAATTGAGAAGACTGTACTACGAGTTAAGGAAAAGTAGAAAAAAATCAAGATTCGAGTAATACTTTGCATGTTATGTGCGAATAATGGTTATTTATATAACTATATTTCTACTGCGTATCATATGCAGTAAGGGCCTTTTTGCATATCTTTTTGTAATTAACATGGGTTGTAAGTGCCATTGATAATGTTAAAAAATTGCTTCCTTCTGGTTAATATACAACATTATGATTTTAATTACATTTTCAAAATTTTCATGAAAATAAGCATAAATCTGGAGGCGTTCTGCTTTAATGTATACTAATGTTTTATTTTCTCGGAGCTGTGATCACGTGTTTGAAGTGTTCTCAAATTACTGGACCAGCTAATTGCTCTACAGTACAAAAATGTGATCCTCAGCAGGTACAACTCGGGCGTTATTATTTACCAATCAATATATTTAGTTAAACAGAACAGAACTTTTATTTTGTAGACTTATACAAATATAGGAGTACGTTGTCTAGTTAACAGGCAGTGAATTCATATATACAACATAATCATTAAATCAAATACGCTCGTACACAATTTTGTAGATTACATATCATTTTCTGTTTTACATGTATTATAGAAAAATATGATAAATTTTCTTATATCCTGCGAAAGAGTCGTCATCAATAACAATTATTTCATTGTTGTTTTTACCTACAACTCAAAAGGTCTGACAAAAAAAGACACCTTGCTCAAATAAACGTAAATCGAACACATAATCTATATATATATATACCGGATATCATTGACAGAAAGGATTTTTGTCTGTACATATCTATGTTAATGTTTTTTTCATGCTGATTTTGCTAGTTTCGTATAATTATGGTGTGATCTCTAACACGTTTCAGAGTTGTTTTACTGATGTATATTTAAATGTGGACGGAGATAAAAGATACAATCTTGGGTGTAGAGACACGATGGTAAGCTTTTCTATAAATTAGCCTCAAGTACCACCTTATCTTTTTTTCAAGTGTTAACCATAACCCTTCATTTTTCTTTAATCATATCAAACCTACACAATGAAAGTAAAGAAAATATGTCAACAAACGTGAATACAATCAAGCTAGGAATATATTATTTTCTGCTTTATTTTTATGCCTTGATACAAAAAAGCATTGCAAACTAAGGCAAAGTTCCAAAGTAAAAAGCTGTATTTGTAGTCCATCGCAATGGTTGTAGCCTGGGTTCCAGTCTGTCAATTTCTTTTATGATTCTGTTTTGCAAATCGACACTATTAAAACCACGAACGAATACGAAATAACGCATATGTTATAAATAAGCAAAAAGAAAAAATGTTACAAATAAGCAAAAACTATCAACGCCTGAATCCCAGGCTAGGCTGTAGGTGCAAAGTTTAGATACTTAAACCACTTTTAATGAACATTGGAACCATACATATTCTTTATCTGGAGATATTATTAAAATGAATAAAATATATTGTATTTGTATACAAAGCAATGTGATGCATCTCGGACAGTATTGAATAAACCTAGCAGTGCTTACATATGTAGTGAATGTTGTAATGGAACATTGTGTAACAACGCTGGATGTCAATATCAAGGTTTATTTTTTATCTAATACCAAAAACATTCAGTGTAAACCTCCACATAGCGTGGTCCTCTGTAAATCGTTTACCTCTTTACAAAAGCAATTTCAATTATTTCGGAAGTTAGACACTTGACAATTAAGTTTATCCTCACTAAAGCAACACCTCTTAGTAACGACCAATGTCTCCAATAAGATTTTGCTTTACAAAGTTTTAACCTGTATATTTGTTTGAACATAATGTTGTTTTTTAACATGTAATATGGCCGTATATAGACGGTTATTTGCAATATAACCCTCACCCAACAACCTGGGTTATATATACAAACAAAAGTAAATATAGGGCAAAATGACCTTTCAAAAATCTGTTTAGCTGATACTGTACAGGTCAAATATTCACTTGTGTCGTCGTCTTTTAAATAATTGATCTGATACAGCGCTGGTAAACAAAACTGTTTAGTTAAATTGAGATACTGTAATATTCATTATGTTTCTTAAAAGGAATCACTAATTTTCAGATTATTGTTTGATTATTAAATGTAAAAACAATATCAAGCTAGTATACATCAGAACAGAGGTCAAAATTTAGATACACTGGTCAATTTGATTGCCTAAGAGACTGTAAAATAAATGTAAGTTCTAACTAACATGTTAGTACTGCAATTAAAAGTGAATTCATAACTTGTCAGAAGATCAGCATAAAGATGAATTAAACGCCTAAATTGCTCAATTTAAATATATGTATCAAACATCTTATTAAGTGGTGGATTTCTTTGTAATGCACGTGTAATATGCCATGTGAGAATGCATTACTAATTAAACGTTATTGAAACTGTTTCTCAAAGGCTACCCTTCACCAAGAGGTCCGATATGTTATAACTGTGAAACCCGCACTAACAGCAGCGATTGTGACACGATTAAAGTGTGTAATAGTGACGAGGTAAGATTCTTGTAGTACAACATTGTCATGTCAATTATTTATCTATGCCATTACCAGATATCAGAAATATGCTGATATTTGACAGAATACATTATTTAATACAGGTAAAGGGATTGGTATATAAAATTATTGGTATTTTCAAGGGATAGTATTTGCAAGGTATTCGCTTTAGTATTTGTAAGGGATTTGTATTTGCAAGGCTTTAGCATTTGTAAAGCTTAAGTATTTGCTAGGGTTTGATTTTCATAAGGTTTCAATATTATCAAGGGTTTAGTATTTGCAAGGGTTTTTAGTAAATTCAAGGGGTAAGTATTTGCAACGGGTTAGCCTTGACAAGGTTTTAGTATTTGCAAGGTATAAGTATTTACAAGGGATTGGTATTTGTAGGGTTTTAGCATTTGCAATGCCAGCGAATTTGCAAAGATTAGATCTTTGCAAAGGGGCTAGTATTGACAAGGTTTTAGAATGTGCAAGGTATAAGTATTTGCAAGGGATTGTTATTTGCAATTTAGCATTTGCAAGGCTTTAGTATTTGCAGGATTTGGCATTCATAAGGTATTAATTTTTTCAAGGGTTTAGTATTTGAAAGGGTTAAATATTTGCAAGGGATTTGTATTAACAAAGCAAATTTTTTGTTTTCAAAAGGGTTTAGTATTTGCAAGGCTTAAATATTGGCAAGGGATTTGTATTTGCAAGACTTTAGTATTTGCAGGGTGTGGTATTCATAAGGTATTAATATTTCCAAGTCCAAGTATTTGTAAGTTTTTAGTATTTGCAAGGGATTGGTATTTGCAAGGGATTTGTATTGCAATGGATCAGTTTTTGCGAGGGTTATGTTTTTGCAAGGGATTGGTATTTGTAACATTTTGGCTAGAAGTTGATACTTGCATGTGATTTACATTTTAAATGATAAATGATTTCTTTAATCCAATTTCAATTGATTGAATTATATGCGACTTATCCTTTTTTATCGATGTTGAGAAGTGTTGTGCATTTATTTATCATTTAAATATGATTTTCCAGGTTTGCAAACTAGGAAAAAAGTTTAAAAGATTGGCTAACACAACTATACAATTTCATTACCAAAAAAGTTGTGAAAAAGCTGATGTGAGTATGGTTTTTATGGTAAAAGTAATTTAAATAACTCAACACACGTCTTCAAATAATTAATTTCCATTTAGAATACAGCATGGTCCAGTGTTTGCAACATTTCCTTGAAGGTATTTTTGGCACTTTTTTGTTCCATATGTTTATAACAAGATACGTGTGATGTCTATCCTATTGATTTGAAGATGGCCTGATATAGTGTAATTTTACGTGATGTATTGATTTATTCAAAGATGTGAAGTAGAAAATATAATTATGTTATACATCCGAAATTAATCGAGTCAACGCGCTTTCATTCCCTTAGTTCATTTTTTAGTTTAAAGATAAACAGAAACTGTCCCTGCTATTTGAAGACAATAACAGAATATTTTACTACAAATTTGCTTCAGAATCTGCTTGGTCTTAGAAAATATCATCACATCCATGTGTATTAAATTAAGCATACCGTATTATCGAACGCTAAAGAAACTGTACATTGGGTTTCGATATCATACTGAAATCATAAAAAGATATACTGAACCAAAAAAAAACTTTCGCAAAGTATGTGCCAGTTGTTCAAGGGTACCACATGGTAGATGTACACACTTATATACATGTAGTAGCTTGTAAAACTCGTTTTGTTTGCAAAATCAGTCAGCTAATCCCCGTATAAAAGCCCGATATGTTTATTCAACGTAAAAATCGAGTTTCAAAAGAATTGAAAAACTGTACTAACATATCTACATTCAAACTTGGAGAAAGTTTCTTTTTTGTTTCAGTATATTTGGTATATGTACTACGTTTTGGTTTATAATTACCTACAGGGTGGAATAGCTTATTGTTTAGATGTTTCATGCTTAAGGGGCATGAAGGGTAACTTGCACTTTCTATTAACGTACATTTTTAATTTTATCGTTTTGTTCGTTATTTTGGGATTCCATTTTTTCACTAATTTGTTTTTCAAATAGCCACTTGTATAGACAAATGATCCATAGTTTTGTGCGGTAATGGATAAATAGCATTAATTAATAATGAACCGAACATAATATCACTTCAATATTCCGAACAATGAGATCAAATATCCCAAAACTCTTTTCAAAGTTCTTTTGCGTTAGAATTTATTACTAGGATGTTTAACCCCTTTTAATAAGTATTATCATTTCATGTTTCAGGTTTGTGACACACAGGTTCGAAATCTAGAGTACCTAATAACACACATCATTGGAAAGCGACAGGTTCGGAATATGTTTCCAAACAGTATGTACTTTGTTTGAAATTCTCTTGAAACAGACCGCATGTATGATATTATATAACAGTGAACGTTTGAATCATTGATCTATATATACATAACTTTACCTTTAACCTACTTGATTTGGATTCAATGTCTATGAAATTTCAACATCAAAATACAAAACAAAAGCTTGCTAGACATCGGCAGGTACTGGGCTGTTCTGGTTCTATGTTGGTTGTAATATATCAGTTCTAGTAGCTTATTTATATCAATCAAAGGGCTGCAAGCTCTGTGGTATTTTCTGATCTTTGCAATCTAAATCATACTGACTATCTGTATGTATGTTCCTGTATAAGTTTATTTTTATACACTATAATTCATCTTATGCAGCGGCTGCGTTTAGATTTTTTACTATAACAGTTTGAGATTGATACATACGGAATTTTGCATGACTAGAGTTGCATCAAAAAATCATTTTTCATTTTTTATGACAGCCACACCTTGCATATCGTGGCTACTTCCTTAAAAAGACACTTCAAAAAAAAAAAGTTGCCTCAACTAGGATTTGAACCTTAGGCCTCTCACACCCTAAACGAGCGCGCTAGCTCGGCACCACTGTGAAGTAATACGTATGTAGCTTGAATAAAAACAAATACATTATAATTCTAAACTGAGAATTTCTATTTCGTGTTTGTAATCCTAATTAATTTTGAGGTATTTTGTTCATGATAAACCTGTTGTTTAACACTGATGAAAATAATTTAGCGAAAATCTTCTCGCCAAAACAGTCCAACATGTATATATTCCACTACTCAACAGTCAGATTTATTTGTGTTCTAAACTCTGGGGTATTCGGTAATCTACATAGCTAAAAATAGCATTTTCTTTGATTAAGCTTTACGGAAATTGCCGAACATTTTTCATTGGGTATAAAAGATATTCATCCGCGAAATTTGTGATTGTAACCTCATATTTCTATTGACTAATCTAAACTTTTAATGCACTGTAATTCGTTAAATGCCTACATTAAAAATTATTCTTTCTTTTAAATCGCTGGTTTTCAAGCAGTTTTGAGTGAGAACTACTTTGCGTTGTTAGGTATGTTAGGAAATTTTGTGTTAGACCGTGGATGTTAGCTTTGTATTTACTGATCTTGCGATCAGAAAATACAAAAATGATTGCAATCATATTTTTAATTTAATGCTACAAATAATTCGTAACGTTGCTTTTACTAGGACGATTGTGTGTGTTGTTATTGTTGTTGTTTTTTGTGTGTTTTTTTTGGTTGGAGGAGGGTCATACTATAGCTCTAAAGAATTATTAATTGTTTAACAGCACTCGTTAAAATCGCTAAAGATGCTTGTCTATACAAACTATAGAGCTAATTATGTACACAATGTTACGACAACAACATGTCTCCAATCTTCAAACAAGCATTTAATAATAATAAGAAAACATCAAAGAAATATTTAAGACTTATCGCATGGTTTGGAACTTTTCCTTTGTTCTGACTAACCCATTATACTCAGTACACTTCAATGAGCATTTGAAAACTGTATTGATATATAACAGTACAGTTTTTTCATTGATTCATATAGGAAAAAAATTCAACTGTTATATATCGGTCGAGTTTTTTTCGCACCTTGTATATATCAATGCAGTTTTTTCATAAAGGCTCCAATGGGGCAGTGGTAACGACCATTCCCAGTAGCAAAAAAATAATTAAAAAAAATGGAATCAACAGAATAAAATAAATATTTAAATATAATGTGAAATATAAACAAAGATAATTAATGAAAAGAAATTTACTCTCATTTAATCAAAAGGTACATCCGCTGAATGAATTACTTCAACTGAAATAAGGCCCTATAATCTTGACAGTTTACAATCCGCCCCTAACATTTGATGTCTTTTGTATATTTTTTTGCACTCTCGGGATGTGTCTGCAAAAAAAATTGTCTCGGCCTTACGGCCTCGCCATTTTTTAGCAGAAACACCACTTGATGTCGCCCCAGTCAGTGTTATATCCTCGTAACTAACTCGTTTCATGTACTATAACTATTACATATTCAGGTTAAGTGCTTTGTAAACACATTTATCACGTTATAGATTACCACTGTGTTTTGAAATGTTGTGATACCGACCTGTGTACTGACAGCTGTACTTCAAAGACTTCACCACATAGTTTTTAGCTTCAATTTGGAACTAGTGTGTCATGCTCGAACAATTGAAATAGTAAGTGAATTCGATAACTTTGGTGTTGCAAGCTTTTGTTTTGTTTTATAGGAAACAAACTCTCATGCAATATAAATATTGGACTTAATTAAGCTTAAAAATAGTAATTTGATAAGTAGCGATAACAATTGAGTAATCATAAACTAGTTAATTTACGAGTTCAGTTTATCGTTAACCAAATTATTGAAAAATAAGGAAATCGTCGCTTGAAAAACGTTTTGTTCTAAGTGCCAATTTGTTGTTTTTAAGAAAATGGCATGTAAAGATTTAGTATTGAATAACTTTTTTATTTATTGTCGGATTTTGAAAATTTAAAAACTACTAAACGTGATGTCGAGAGAACATCTCAATATCGTTAAAGATATGTGGATTTTAATGTTTCCTTGCTTAAAAACCTAAAAAAAAACATTTGGAGAAAGAACAGTCCTTGTAACTTTTTTCAAAAATTGTTAAAATCAGAGTGTTCAATGTGACTTAGAACATTATGTCTTTTAAGTTGAATTGATTTACATCATATAAAACAGTATGTTTTATCTTTAAAAGGCTGCCAAAAATGCTCTCGGCTCATTATCCCTTGATTAGTTGACTTTGACACTACACTATTTCTTAGACCATATGTATCTAACTAAATGAACTATGACATTCGAAGTGTTATTAAAATGCTTAAATCCATTACATTATTAAATGACATTTAAACAAATAATTTAAATAAATAAAAAAAATATACCCACATAAATTTTGTAGACATTTTATCCATTTTCATAACTTTGGCCACATTCAAAGTGATTCAATATCTGGAAAAAGAAAGTTATAGCCGCAAACGGGAATAGAAAACTTTCAAATTTTCTAGAATGCTGGAAAATCTTTCAAGATTTCTTTTAAGAAAATTCAAAAGATGGTCAAATTCAAATTCCTTCCAAAAGTATAAAATAGTAGTAATTATTTTGTTTTGCGCTTTACACGTTCTGTTTGTGTTGGTAAGAAGTTCTTCTAATTGAAGGTATGTAAAAAAATGTTTCTATAACTTAAATAGGCAATGAAAACATATCTGCTAGAAAATACCTTAAAGGTGGAGCAGGCATGACTTATATTTGAAAAATGTAATATTGAAAGATTGTTCGTGTACAAAAACATTACAAACATAATGCTATATAAATATTCATTTAGAAATTCAAAGACTTATTACAAGACAAACAAAATATACGTATAAGAATATTTTTCTTCCTTCTGTCTTTGGTATAAAATGTGTTTACTTTAAAGCAATCTATTAGTTATATAACATTAACGCATTCGAAAACATATATTAAATGTAAGTGTATAATATCTATAAATTTTCTGAAAGTCCTTTTTTGCCCCAGAAATGCTTTTGTCTTAATCTATCAAAAGCCTGATATTTGGAGTTCTGTTATAGTTTCCAAAATATTCCACATTGGTCAGTAACTTAAACCATCTTATGCTTTTGTTTCATATTGTCAATGTGTACAGTCAATTTTTTAAACTCATATGTGTCTGTTATAAAGATAAATAATTGGTTTCTGAGACAGAATAACATATACCAAATTTTCTTTTTTACGAATTTGTTTGATGAAATTGTATGATCACAGTTGTTTGTATCCGAAAATACACATCCGAAATTACTTTCAAATCATGATCAGTTTTACTTGTTGTTTAATCACATGCGGTAAATTTACAGGACTTAATACTAAAATGTCAATGGTTTGAGGGAATAAATGATTACATAATATTATTCAATACTTATATTTAGTATTTATATATGAAATAAACTACAAACCATCTAACTCAAGATGTTTCGTACAACATGGCGGGTGTCCTGCTATCACGAGATTTTATGCTTTGTTTTGATACGATAATTTTGGATTTAAAACAGTATGTTGCATATAGCCCACAGGTCACGTGACATTTATCGGTGATATGATTAGTCCAGTAAGTTAGAACAGTCTATTTATCAAGACATACTAAATTGATGGAGAAAGAACAGGATGGTTTCGTTGTAATTTATTTATGAAGCTCTGAAGCACAAATATAACATGCCAATGAGATAGAACAGTCCATTACGGACGACAAAATAGTGTATTTAACTCTAAATTTGGAGATAGAACATTACAGTTTTCAAGCGACGAAATGTGTTTTTTACCAAAAATATGTTTTATGTATGGTGTTTGAGCGTTTGCAAAACATTTACTGGTGGATATTTTTGGTCAATGTTGACGATTACGTAACCTAAAATGAGATTATGTAGCCAAATTTTTAAGAAGGTGTGTAACCGCCACGCGCCACGTGCTTCTCCTCATACAATATATAAAATAAAGCGTCTAATGCGATTATGATGTAAATATTGTCTTTATTGGTGCAGAGCTTGTTCCAGTTGTTGCAGATTGACTACAGGTGCTTAGTACCATTGCCCAAATAAAATTTTATAATTTCAATTGTGGTCATGTCAAAATGTACGCAAAATGCCGGGTGTGCTTAACTTATTTCCAAGTGTAAAGTTAATTGATAATTTCGACGAATCATTTTCATTTATTGTTTTCACATTAGAAATAAAATTGTATGGAGAATAAATTGATATATTTTAAATTTATGATCATTTTACAAATATACATAGTTTAAGTTTCCTTTACCAATGAATAAGTTAACATAAACCCACTTTGAGATTTCGTATCAACCATCAATTTCCTAATTTATGGATTCTTTTTCATGTTAGTTTTTATCAAGACTTTATTAATCATTTCTTTTTTTCACAATAAAATATTATTAGACTTTACTTTACAGTGTAATAGAAACTACAATATATATTGTTTTAACATAAAAATCCTTATCACTGACTATAACATAACAAAATAAATAGATAAAATTTAATCGGCAATGCATGTCTTTATGTGTGGATTTTTTATATTGCAGAGTTGAATAAAAATGGAAAATGAAATGTGACTATTTGATTTATGAAAGCAGTTAAACCTAATAAATATTTTGCAAATAGTTTTATTAGTACGTAGTTCTTTCTATGAGGGTATTCCTGACCAAGTTACAAAGGCATTTTACTCTGCAGATGAATTCTGCTTAAGCCGGTGCTTATGGGCATGGACAACATTTTCTATTTTGACGTTTTAGGTATACTTCAGGGATTCCATTTCCTCTATTTTGAAGAACTTACATAGTTCAGCTATGGTACCGGAGCCAGTCAGGTACTTTTGATCCTTATGTTATAATCTTAGCTATCATGTTAGCTTGACGTTGATGGTCCTTTTAAGGGCCCGCTTTACAATAAAATAATGCACAAAAAGGAAGGGCGATTGGAGTTTTCCTACAAATGTAAAACTGGCAAGTCCCAATATGAGTTTTTTTACGTTTGGCTTGCTTTAATAATAATAACTGATAAGGTAATTTCAAATAAAACAATTCGTCCATTTAAATTAGATTATAACCTAAAATTGAATTTAAAAACGTTAATAATTTATCATGAAATTTGAAGAAAAAAAAGATGAAGCTATAAACATCTTATTGACAGGGCATATCATAATACTCTTTTTAGGTATCTTAAATTATTTGAAGGATTCAAGATGTAAGAAAACAATGCCAGACATAATGTAAACATCTGCTAATCCAGTATTGAATATATCAGTTTGCGAAATTGGCCACACAATATGTGGATTTCGGTAGTTTTAACAACAAAAAACGATGTATTACCCTTAAACGTAACAAAAAGGTGGTTTGTAAAATTAGAGAAAGTAATTTCAAAGTTATTAGATTATATATAAAAATGTTATGACGTGTACGTATTAATTATTCCACTCTAAACTACAAATATAAATAAAATACATTATTATATATAAACAGTTTTGGTCATATTACGGTTTCAATATATGATTGGTATTCGTTTCATGTAAGCGCTACAATGTGACAGCATTTAACTTATCCTAAACTAACTTGATAGCAGGTGTCATTTACCTTTTCGAAAGAAAAATGATCACAAAAATGTGCGGATTTGATTACTGGTTTGCCATGTATTAGTCTCGTATTATTGTATATTTGTATATAGTAACACATTGAAAAATTGTGTACGGTATTATGTTTACCGATACATTATGACCTTTTTACGCTAAAATAGATAAATTAATGTCAATATACAAGGTCAGTCTGAATTTTAAAACAACAAAAATAATATGAATTGCAATTGGGAGGTTTTATCTGTGTTAGATAACGCAGAGATTAAATATGGAACAATGTCTTTGACCCCAATGATCAAACTAGGTGATTTTGTTTCATTTTATTTTTTGTTTTTGTTGTTGCCGTTGTTCTTGTTCAACATTGATAGACACACTATACAGGGATAAAACACATTCAAGTAATAGATCACCTTGTTGTATAATCTATACTGGGTAAGGTTTTTCGTTTTCTTTTTTTTAGTTTGTGTATACTATGATCTGTGATGAACTGTTATTTATATAAATCAATAAAATTCAAAATAATAATAATAAAGTCACGTTAGGCTTAAACTGGCTAATAAAAGTGTTTAAGATCGGATAATTCAGTATGGGTAGTTAGTTGTTTATTGAGCCTATACTCTCCCTCTTGCAGGCATATCAGGTTTTGATTGATACATTCATTAGTGACATTATGTCAATTGAAGCCTTAACATAAATGCATGAAAATAATAAGTTGTGTGCATGTTTGCACATTTTTTTTTACATATTTCAGACGCTGATATAGCAATGTTACTTCTTGTTGTTATTTCGGTACTTTGTGTCTATAACACAGAAGGTAATATAACAAATGTGTTTATTTTAATTTCCTAAAATGTGTCCTATCAATACATGAACAAAAATACATTTTAAATACGTTTTAATGAAACATTTTAATGTAAAATGCCTTTACCATTAAACCTGCAGTAGAACTGAAAGTACGTTTAATAATCATCAACTAAATGAATTCCAATCTTTTAAAGTATATATCTTTATCCATAAAACGTTTTATAACAGTAAAATGTTGTTGTTTTCATTTTTCCGTTTTTGTTCCGTGGAAGATTTATAACAGAATGTCTATGTCATTTGATATAGTATTGCATGATACTTTACAATAATTATATTTATGAATAGCCACGTGAGGAATAACAAACCTGTTAAATTGCGTTTACTGACCATACCATAGTATACAGTATGGCCCCTTTTTATGATTTTACCGAACAATAACTAAAAATATGTGCAGTGAATAGGACAAACATAATTATTATGAAACTTAGTACAAAGTAGCAAATACACGTGAAGAATTAATTAATTAATTGAACTGTACTATAATATACCCGGTAGAAACAAGTAAGAAATGTGAGGATTTGTGAAGAAAAAACGCCATAAAAGCTCAATTATGAATAGAAAACCAGGGTTAAACAGCAAAAAATACACTTAAACGTTTTCAACTTAATTATTTATGTTGCTTGGCTATTTATAACAGTCATCATCATTAAAAGTTTTGATGTCAGTAAAGCAGCATGCGTCAAAATGAGCGAAAATATTTCGATAAATTCAAATTTAAGAAGTTAAGGAAATGTAGAAAGATTCAAGATTCGAGTAATAATTTACATGTTATGTGCGAATAATGGTTTTTTTTTCATTATATGTTACTATATTTCTACAGCATATCTAACGCTGTAAGGGCAACTTTTGCATATTTTGACATCTTTTGCATAATTAACATGGGTTGTAAGTACTATTGATAATGTGTAAATGGCTTCCTTTTGGTAAATATACAATGTTATCCTTTAATTACATTTTCACTATTTTCATGAAAATAAGCATTAATCAGGGACGTGCTGCTTAAATGTATACTAATGTTTTATTTTCTCGGAGCTTTGATCACGTGTTTGAAGTGTTCTCACATTACTGGACCAGCTAATTGCTCTACAGTACAAAAATGTGGTTCTCACCAGGTACACTCAGGTTTTATTATTTCCCAATCAATAGATTTGGTTAAACATATATACACAACATAATCATTAAATCAAATACGCTCGTACAAAATTTTGTAGATTACATATCATTTTCTATTTATTACATGTATTATAGAAAAATATGATAAATTTTCTTATATCCTGTGAAAGAGTCGTCATCAATAACACTTATTTCATTGTTGTTTTTACCTACAACTCAATAGGTCTGAAAAATAGATACCTTGCTTAAATAAACGTAAATCGAACAAAGAATCAATATATACACCGGATATCATTGACAAAAAGGATTTTCATTTGTGCATATCTATGTTGATGTTTTATCATGCTGATTTTGCTTATTTCGTTTATGGTGTGATCTCGACCACGTTTCAGAGTTGTTTTACTGATGTATATTTAAATGTAGACGGAGAAAAAAGATATAATCTTGGGTGTAGAGACACGATGGTAAGCTTTTCTATAAATAAGCCTCAAGTACCATTTTATCTTATTTTCAAGTGTTAACCATAAGCCTTCATTTTTCTTTAATCATATTAAACCTTCACAATGGAAGAAAAAAATGTCACAAGAGTGAAGACAATCAAGCTAGAAATATATTGTGTTCTGCTTTATTTTTATGCCTGGATAAAAAAATGCATTGCAAACTAAGGCAAAGTTCCAAAATAAAAGCTGTATTTGTAGTCGATCGCATATGGTTGTAGGCAGTCTGGGGTCCAGTCTGTCGATTTTTTTATGTTTCTGTTTTGCAAATCGACACTATTAAAACCACGAACGAATACGAAATAGCGCATATGTTATGAATAAGCAAAAAGAAAAAAAATGTTATGAAGAAGCAAAAACTATCAACGCCTAAATCCCAGGCAGGGTTGTTGGAGCAAAAGTCAAGATACTTAAATTACTTTTAATATACATTGAAAACATACATATTCTTTATCTGGAGATATCATTAAAATGAATAAAATATATTTTATTTGTATACAAAGCAATGTGATGTATCTCGGGCAGTATTGAATAAAGCTGACAGTGCTTACATATGTAGTGAATGTTGTAATGGAACATTGTGTAACAACGCTGGATGTCAATATCAAGGTTTACTTATTACCTCATGTTAAAACCGTTAGCGTAAACCTCTAAATAGCGTGTCCCCCTGTAAAGCATTTACCTCTCTACAAAAGCAATTTCAATTATTTCGAAAATTAGACTTTTGACAATACATTGTATTTTTAACATCTTTTGAGCAACACCTCTTAGTAACGACCAACATCTTGTTTCAAATAAGGTTTTGCATTACATTGTTTTACCTTTATATTTATTTTTTAATACAGAAATAAGTGTAAGCGAAAATTAAAAATTAAAGATGTTTTATAAAGTTATTTTTTTTTCTTTCGGATGTACAGCTTTGGTGTAAATATGTAGATATCGATAAATTGGGAGCTTTCTTTTTATTTCTAATTACCTTCATATTATATTTGGGAAAAATACACAGTAATATTGCTGATGGTCTTGTATTTTCATTAATATTATTGGCTGTTATAGGGCCGAATATAGACTGTTATTTGCAAACCCTCTCCCAGCAACCTGGGTTATATATATACAAACAAAAGTTTATATAGGGTAAAATAACCTTTCGAAAAGCTGTTTAACTGATACTGTACAGGTCAAATATTATTTGTGGCATCTTTAAAATAATTGGTCTAATGCAGCTCTTGTAAACAAAACTGTTTAGTTAAATTGAGATGCTGTAATATTCATTAAGTTTCCTAAAAGGAATCACTAATTTTTCAGATTATTGTTTGATCACAATATCAAGCTAGTATACATCAGAACAGAGGTCAAAATTTAGATACACTGGTCAAACTAATTTTCTAAAAGACTGCAAAATAAATGTATCATGCTAGAACTGCACATAAAAGTGAATGCATAACTTGTCAGAAGCCCAACATATAGATAGATAAATTAAACGCCTAAATCGCTCAATCTAAATGTATGTAACGAACATCTACTGAAATGGCGGATTTCTTTGTAATGCACGTGTAATATGCCACGTGATAACGCATTACTAATTAAGCGGCGTCTAGTAGATATGCATTTGCCTATACAGCAATGTGTAAAATCTTAGAGTTGATTTTGGGATTTTTTTTGTTTAAACGAAATCACACTGTTTTCAATTTTCTAATGAAAAAAGCTTTTCTGATGTACAACATATGTCACAGAGCTTTAAGGGATAAGAATAAACGTTTAACTGCCATGTTTGAATATCATATTCTTTTCATCATTATCTAATTTTATCTACATAATAAATAACGTGCCAAAGAGCCAGTCAATAGTCGATCGTTCTAAAACTTAACAGTTTAGTGAGGTGACGACTGAGGCAGTGTCACTTACTTCATTTGCTTCGCCTCTTTTTAAGTTCGGCTCCGACTTAAATTGACATATTAAATTTGATATTATGCTCCATACGCTAGTATTAAGTCTTTCTCTGACGGGGTAGAAAGGAACCAGGACACTGTGATCAATATCATTTTTTGAATCAACAAAGCATTAACCACTCCCACTATCAGAGAGGCAGCTCTCTCTCAACCGTTAAGAAAGTACAACAAACCGGTTACGCTACGGCATGTAAGGGGAGATCACTGCAGAACAGTTTGTCCTTAAAATCATTCGAACATTATGTAATTCGTACCAATATTCAAATGGGTATATTCTCGGCACATTAAATTGGTATATTCTCGGCACATTTATCTTATTAGTTTACCAATCATTTCATTTGTTATCCAATTTATTTTGATTCGACAAGACGTTTCAGTCTTTCTCGCAACAGACAAACATTTAAGAATATCAGACCTGGCATTACTTTGTGAACTTATGCATTAGTTCAAATTTTTCACAAAAATATGCAACTTTATTATTAAACAACGAGCACGTACCAAGAACATGGAGAACAAATTGATTTGTGCTTCGGATATTTAACTGTAATAGAGAACGATTTTCAATGCTGATTGACTGTACACATCATTTGGCGGCGTCTTTGATATGCACAATCAACATTTAACTTGTTAAAACTGTTTCTCAAAGGCTACCCTTCACCAAGAGGTCCGATATGTTATAACTGTGACTCCGGCATTAACAGCAGCGATTGTGACACGATTAAAGTGTGTAATAGTGACGAGGTAAGATTTCTTGTAGTACAACATTGTAATGTCAATTATTTATCTATGCCATTAACAGATATCTATCGTGGCTGATTACTGCCATTCGTGTTTTCACCCCGCGACCTCGCAAAGCGGAAAGTCGAAAATTAACAAGTTAAAATGGCGAGGAAACGGAGCGAAAACAGGCTAATTAGCGAGGGCGCGGGGCAAAGTTTAAAGAATAAAAACTTCGCCCCTCGGGGGCGTGCAGCGAGATTTAAGAAATAAAACGGCGGGGTCGCAAACTTGGTATTAAAAAGGAACTGGTAAATTGTATTTTAAAGAATTTGGTTTTTACAATGGAATTGTATTTGCAAGTAATAAGTATATGCTATGCAGGATTATTGTATTTGCATGGCTTAAGTATTAACACTTGCAAAGGATTAGTATTTAAAAAGGATTATTATTTGCAAGGTATTCAGCATTTGCAAGGCTCTAGTATTTTCAAGGGTTTGGTATTCATAAGGTTTTAATATTTCCCAGGTTTTAGTATTTGCAAGGTTAAGTGTTTGTCAAGGGTAAATATTTGCAACGGGTTAGCCTTGACAAGGTTTTAGTATTTGCAAGGTATTGGTTTTTGCAAGGTTATGGCATTTGCAATACTTTGGTATTTGCAAAGGTTTAGTATTGGCAAAGGGATAGTTTTGCAAGGGGCATGTATTGGCAAGGCTTTAGAATGTGCACGGTATTAGTATTCACAAGGGATTGGTATTTTCAGGGTTTGGTATTCATTACGTATTAATATTTCCAAGGGTTTTTAGTATTTGTGATGGTTAAGTATTTGCAAGTGATTAGTATAAATTTACATGGTTTAGTATTTGCATGGCTTTATTATTTGCAAGGAATTGGTATTTGCAAGGCTTAAGTATTTGCAGGGTATGGAATTCATAAAGTTTTCATATTTCCAAGGATTTAGTATTTATAAGTTTTAGTATTTGCAAGGGATTGGTATTTGCAAGGGATTGGCATTTGCAAGGGATTAGTTTTCATGAGGCTTATGTTTTTGCAAAGGATTGGTATTTATTACATTTTGGCTCGAAGTCGATGCTTGCATGTAATTAACATTTTAAATGATAAATGAATTTTTAAATCCAATTTTAATTGATTGAATTATATGCGATGTATCCATTTTTATCAATGTTGTGAAGTGTTGTGCATTTATTTATCATTTACATATATAATGTTCCAGGTTTGCAAACTAGAAAGAAAGTATAAAAGATTGGCTAACACAACAGTACAATTTCATTACCAAAAGGGTTGTGAAAAAGCTGATGTGAGTAATGTTTTTATAGTAAAAGTAAATCGAAGAACTCAACACACGTTTTAAAATAATTAATTTCCATTTAGAATGCAGCATGGACCAATGTTTGCAACATTTTCCTAAAGGTACTGTTGGCACTTTTTTTGTTTAATATGTTTATCCCAAGATATGTATGATGTCTATCATATCAGAAAAGATAGTCTGTGAAGATTGCATCAAATTCTGTTTGGGTGATTTATTGATTTTACGTGTTTTATTGATTTATTCAAAGATCGGAAGTAGAAAATATAATTCTTGCATAGCAGACTGGCGTTTCCGTGAGTTTAACCCATGCCGGAAATTTCATCTGGCATGGAGGTACCAGATGAGTCGCGAGCCAACGGGTCCCTTCGGGACGGATATTCCGGTCCGAACGGCAACATATGCCAGATAATGTGTAATGCATCCGAAATTATTCGAGTCAACGTGCTTTCATTCCCTAACGTCATTTTTCAGTTTAAAGATATACAAAAACTGTCCCTGTTATTTGAAGACAATAAAGTAAACAGAATATTTTACTACAATTTTGCTTCAGAATCTTCTTGGTCTTATATCATCACATCCATGTTTATTGAATTAAGCATACCGTATAAGCGAACGCTTAAGAAGCTATGCATTGGGTTTCGATATCATATTCAAATCATAAAAATATTTGGTATATGTACAAGTTTTAGTTTATGATTAACAACAGGGTGGAATGGTTTATTTCTAAATGTGTCATGCTTAAGCCGAAGCTTTGGGCCATGAACGGTTACTTGCACTTTCCAGTACTGTGTATTTTAACTTTGTCGGTTTGTGCTTTTTTAGAGATTCCATTTTTCTCTATTTTGTTTTTCAAATAACCATTTATATGGGCAAATTATTTATAGTTTTGTGCGGTAATGGATAAATAACATCAGTAATTGAACAGAACATCATATAATTTCATTATTCCGAACAATGAGAACAAATATCCGAAAACTTTTTTCAAACTTCTTTTGCATTAGAGTTTATTACTAGGATGTTAAACCCCTTTTAATAAGTATTTTTCACTTCATGTTTCAGGTTTGTGACACACAGCTTCGAACTCTTGAGTACGTATTAACACACATCATTAGAAAGCGACAGATTCGGGATATGTTTCCAAAAAGTATGTACTTCTTTTGACATTCTTTTGAAAACAGACTGCATGTATTATATCATATAACAGTGAACGTTTGAATCATTGATTTATATGTTCATAACTATACCTTTAACCTACTACATTTTTTAATGTACTCTGCTTTGTATTTTCAACAGCTAAGTGCTGTCCATTTTATGTTTGTTTATTGGATTTCAACATTAAAATACAAAACGAAATATAGCTTCTTTAAGTAAAGAGCTTTCCTTAGAGGTACGTCCTGTTTCTATGTTGGTTCCAATATATCAGTTCCACTAGCTTAGGGATTACTATTTTCCAATTTTATAAAGAAAGTTGCTTATAAATCAGTCTTATACAAGAAGAAAATACTTTTTTGTAATACCTTTTTATTTCTTTTTGCAAATAATTTTTATCATGACTTGGTATAAAAAACAATTTAAGAACTTTATATACACATCATATTTGCTCTGACAACGGTAGCAAATAGAAAAACGCTATGTTTAGTTTCAGCTGAGATGATTAGTCAAATATGAAATATTGCAACATTGACACAATTGATATGCACCGCGACGGTTACACGTGTTGTTTTTTTATGTATGTCCGATATTTCACACAATCATTTTTGATGTCCTTTGGATCATAACATTATAGTGCAAGAGTACCGACAACGGTTTCATCAAGCATTTGACTAATGTCTATTCGATTAGCAATTGACTGTAATAAATTTAAGTACTCCGTCGCCTAGCATTAACATTTGTCCCAGTCATGACGAAGTGTTGTGTGAAAGTTGACTCCTGAAATCTAAAAAAAGGGTGCGGAGGGTGGGAAATAAAAAACCTAGATTAACTTTTTACAAAAAAATAAAATATGATCAGCAGCTACCTTTCTCATAGAGATCCAGGACAGGCTCGCGCAGCGCCTTATACAGTGTTCTGAATGTATAGCTCTCAGACTGAGGATGCGTATTGATACGCAGTTTTACTGATCGATAAATAAAGAAATGTGTCATTAATGTAAAGTAAAAAAGTTTAATTTTGAATGATTTAATGTTGATATTATTATTATTATTATTATTATTATAACTTAATGCTACAAATAGATCATAATGTCGCTTCTATAGGACGATTGTGGTTTTTTTATTTGTTTGGGTCGTCAGACCAAACAAATAATGATAACGAAATTTCAGACCATGTTGTCCAAACTCCACGAAGCGGTTTCGTCCCTTCATATGTACATTAACGCCGAAATTAATAAGGTTACAAACTCTAATTTAGAATAATATGGTACTCCTCAGTCTTATAACTCACCGTGGTCGAGGGGTTTACACCCTTGCCTTGGAAGCGAGAGGTCTGTAGTTGAAGTCCCAGTTCAGGCAATTTTTGTTAAGACAAATAAACATTGAATTGAATATCAGTGTTGCAGTTAGTCTATAGCAAATTTACTATAGTTATAACACTGGGAACAGCATTGGAGACACTATAAAAACAAATTGGTTTATAATCTCACAACCCACACCCTTCTGACATTCTGAGACAAAAACAAATTCAGCATCTTCTGTGCTTTGATTTCTTACGATAGCTGAAAAGGATTATTATCTTTTTATGTACAGCACTCGTTACATTCGTTAAAATGCTTGTCTATACAATCTATAGAGCTAATTATGTACACAATGTTTCGAAAACGAAATGTCTCCAATCTTCAAACAAGCATTTAATAATAAGAATAAAAAATCAAAGAAACATTTAAGAACTATTCATGTTTTTATTATGCTTTGTGAACACATATATGTTATTAAAGATGACCACTGTATTTTGAAATGTTGTGACACGGACCTGTGTACAGACAGCTGTACTTCAAGGACTTCACCACACAATTTTTAGCTTCAATTTGGAACTGGCGTGTCACACTCGTACATTTGATATAGTAAGTGAATTCAATGACTTAGGTGTTGCTAGCTTTTGTTCATTAGGTAAACATCACTCATGCAATATAAATATACACCTGGAAATAGTTAAGCACACCCCGAAAATTAAAAATTGTTTGTGATTGACTGCACTGTCATGAGATGACGTCTTAATTTAGCTTAGAAATAGTAATTTGATAACAGCGATAACAATTTAGTAATCATAAACCAGTAAATTTATGAATTCAGTTTATTCTTCACCAAATTATTGAAGAATAGGCAAATGTGTTTTTTTTTTACCAAAAATATGTTTTAGTATGGTGTTGGAGCGTTTGCAAAACACTTACTTGTGGATATTTTTGGTAAATGTTGGCGATTACGTAACCATAAATCAAATAATGTAGCCAAATTTTTAATAACGTGTGTAGCCGCCACGTGCCCGGATGATAGCTTCAACCCTTCTCCTCATACTGTATATACAATAAGGCGTCTAATGCGATTTTGAGGTACACTTTGTCATTATCGGTGCAGAGCTTGTTCCAGTTGTTGCAGGTTGACTAAATGGGCTTAGTACCATTGCCCAAATAAAACTTAAAGTTTCAGTTGTGGTTATGTCAAAATTGTGGCAAAATGCCGAGTGAGCTTAACTTAATTCCAGGTGTATAGTTAATTGATAATTTCGACTTATTGTTTTCACATTAGAAATAACATTGTAAGGGGAATAAATTGATATAATTTGAATTTATGATCGTTTAACAATAACACATAGTTTACTGTTCCTTTATTAATGAATAAGTTAACATATTTCCATTTTAAGATTTATGATCAACCATCTATTTCCTACTTTATGGATTCATGTTCATGCTAGTTGTTATCAAAACTTTATTACACTTTCTCTTTTTTCACAATAAAATATTATTAGACTTTACTTTACAGTGTACTATAAACTATATTGTTTTAACATAAAATATACTTATCACTGACTTTAACATAACAAAATCATTTTTTTTAATAAATTGATGATTTATCGGCAATGCATGTCTTTATGTGTGGCTTTTTTATATTGCAGAGCTGAATAAAAAAGGAAAATGAAATGTGCCTATTTGATTTATGAAAGCAGTTAAACCTAATAAATATTTTGCAAACAGTTTTATTAGTACGTAGTTCTTTCTGTGAGGGTATTACTGACCGAGTTACAAAGGCCCTGACTCTGCAGATGAGTTTTGCTTAAGCCGGTGATAAGGGGCATGGACAACATTTTCTATTTTGACGTTTTAGGCATACTTCAGGTATTTCATTTCCTTTATTTTGAAACGCTTACATAGTTCAGCTATGGGACCGGAGCCAGTCAGGTAATTTTAATCCTAATGTTTTAACATTTGGATATCATGCAAGCTTGATGTCGTTGGTTCTTTTTAGGACCCGCTTTACAATAAAACAATGCACAAAAAAGAAGGATGCTTGGTGTTTTCCTACAAATGTAAAACTGGCAAGTCCCAATATAAGTTTTACGTACAGCTTGCTTTAATCGTATCTGTAACAGATAAGGTAATTACAAATACAACATTTCGGAAGAAAAATAATCACAAAAATGTCCGGATTTCGACTAATATTCTTAAATCACATGAATGAAATTCAGTGAACACTTTAGTGATTCACAGCACACATTACATGTTTAACATTATTGTATATATTAACACAATGAAAACTCTTGTGTATACTGAGCAAGGGAACGAAAGGTGTAATTAATTGATATATAAAAATATGTTATATACATGAACTAACTCTGAAACAGATGTTGACCGATACATGATGACCTATTTACGCTAACATATATAAATGAATGTCAAGATACTAGGTCAGTCTGAATTTCAAAACAACAAAAATAATATGAATTACAATTGGGCGGTCTTATCGTGTGTTAGGTAACGCAACGGTTAAATATGGAACAATATCTTTGACACCAATGATCAAACTAGGTGAGTATTTTTTTAATTTTTTTTTTACTTTTTGTTGTTGTTGTTTAATGATCATAGATACTTTATACAGGGATAAAAACAAGTTCAAGTTATACCTCGTTGTAAAACAATTCTATTATTTGTAAAGTATTTCGTTTTTTATTGTTTTTTTTTATTTGTTTTATTTTCTATGATCTGTGATGAACTGTTGTATATATAAATCAATAACATTCAAAATAATATTAAAAATAGTCACTTTAGGCTTAAAAGTAGTATGGGTAATTTATTGTTTATGGAGCATACTCTCGATCTTACAGGCGTGATATATTCATTAGTGACATTATGCACATACAGTTGCAGATAAGAAGTAAACAGATGGAAGTAAAAATATGTTTATATTTTGCCATTTTTGTTGTTAAATTTCATCATTCACTTTGCAAGAATAATAAGTAACACACGTGGCCAAACAAAATTTCTATAAATATCCTTCGGAATATACTAGTACCTGTTAAATTATAAAAAATCATATATTTTAGGCAGTTTTATATCTCATCTAAACCTTTTTACCGATATCATCTGTTGGCTAATTAATAAGATAGTCAATCCAGAAATATTTCGTTCTTACTTCAGTTCAACTTTAATGGGAAAATGGGCGTAATGCCAATTTAAACCGGTGATTCAAATTTTGTGCGTCAAAGTATCAATATAATAAGCTAATAACTATCATATTATACTATAATCACTATTTTATTTCAATCATGTACATAGAGGATATTTAAGTTTTTAATACAGGATTTATTGTCATAGAATGGTATGAAAAAAAAATTGAAAATGGCAGTAGCCATGAGTAAAACATGATAATTTTCATACCAAAAGATGAAAATAAATCCTGTATTAATAGAAAAAAAAAACTGTAATAAACATTTCTTTCTTTTTTGACATTTCAATTTAAAGACTGTCCCTTAAAATGTGTGTATTGGCTGAATTTAGAACACAGAAGTGAAAATGCGGAAAACGTTTCACTGTAGTGAAAAAGTACATTTTTACAGTGAAAATATGCGTTTTATTTCATCATTACATCTCAATATTTCATTTATATGTGTATTAAAAAAAAACAAATGCATGTTAGGATTGTGCAGCATTTTGAAATCTTAAAATCTTCTCCTTAACCCTTTCCCTCATGAGCATATTTTGAAAAAATGGCCGTTTTCATTGAAAAGCCTACTGTTACAAGTTCAACCTTCTATGAAACTATGAAAAATCAAACTTGGCACAAATGTTGACTGGACCATTGCCTTTGTTACGACATGCTCAGTTTTAAATTTCCTGTTACCATGGCAACGAGGGGACATCTCAAAATTGCCAAAAATCACTATTTTGTCAGTTTAAAGTGCCCCAGCGCATTTATGTAAGAAATTCAAATGTTATGTTTTAGCATTTAAAACCTCAGTGGAGTCACATAATGCTTCAAAAATGAATATTTTTGAAATTCTTAAGGAAGTGCAAACATTTGTTTTATAACGTTTAATTGGTGATTTTGCATGCCTATTACATGAAGAAAGTATCGCTGAATGTGAAACTATCAGTCTTGGAAATAGCAAAATGTAAACAAAGTAGTATTTTGACTTTCATGCAAAATACTAGATCACAATAACTTCACATATTGCCAAATATAATAAGAGCAAAAGATGTCTCAGGTATTTGGCCAATGAGTAACTTTTTGGAAACTATAACAGGCCACCGAAAATAAAAAGGTTTTGAAAAATGAGAATTAAAGCATTTCTGGGGCATAATACGCATTTAATGAAAACAATTTATCAACACATGATATTAATTTCAAATGAATAATAATCATATTGTGTCTATAGTACTTGTATTGTTTTTAACCAGACCAATATATACCAACCTTCCAGTCTGAGCAGGCTCTATTCAACTTTATCTCAATTTTATCATTTTGATAAAGTACTGGAAATGAACTGAACTTGGGATAAGGCTATTCTATAAAGTACAAACTGATTTCAATATTTCAGAATCTGACAAAACAATGCTCCTTTGTGTAATTATAACTGCGCTTAGTGTTTACGGAACAGATGGTAAGAGTTTGATTACATAATTTATTTACCGCTGTTAGTTTGCATCCCGCCTAATACTTCGATCTCTTTAATGTGATGATGCTATTTAGCTAACCAAAGGTGTGTCGGTTGTTCCAACAAGGTACCCATTGTACTTGAAATAATGCACGGAAAGGACACATGAGATCCTGCTCTACCAGTAATGCTAGAAAGTCGCCAAGACCGTTAATGTTGGCATTGAAACACTTATTTACCTCAGGATCTATAAAGTTATATATTAAGAATATACCTTTATTTGCATAACAGACAACCGATTGTTTAAATTACAAACTTCAATATGTATATACAGGAATAGATAAGAGTGCTTAAACAATAAAGAAACATTTTAATTTCACGGCCCAATTATAGTTCGCTGTTTCAACGTTTTTTTATACATATATCTTATATTATTTCTCATTGTTTTGTTGGCTGTTGTTTACTTATTCACTTTTTATCATTAATCAGTATCATTGTCATTGAACTGTTACAATTGCAATAATGTTTTATCTTGGAGCTTTGAACGTATGCTTACACTGTTCTAACATTACTGCACCAACCAATTGCTCTCAGGTGACAAAATGTGGCCCTCTTCAGGTAGGTGTATGTCCTGTTTAATGTATTAGTTAAGCACAATTACCTTAGAATATATAAAATATACTGTTTCCACTTGCAATTATGTGTAATGAATGTAAAACCATATTGTGAATGGTTTTATAATTTATTTATTTTGCCTCCCTATAGGTGTGACAGAATGTGACCATTTTTAATTTGTGCTTTTTTTAGTTGTTTTGTTATAACGTTTCTTTTGTTTATATGTATTCATTCAGCGAAATATTAAGATATGATTTTATTCATTTTTTTTATTTATTTATTTACATTTTATTATTATAACTTTTTTTGCGTTTTAGAGCTGTTTCACTGAAATGTTTTTAACTTCGAACGGAGAAAAAAGATACAATTTAGGGTGTCGGGACACAGAGGTAGGTTTGACAACAATAATTACAAGTCTAAGAGACAAAGTATTTGTATGTATTGTTTACAAATACTAATTCTAGTCCGGACAAACAATAAGCGAAAGTTAACGATTTCCGAAGGTGGACAGTGAACTCGGATGATGTTTAAAAAATGTAAGACACTTACTCCGGAATCAAGAATATATATATTTTTTACAGTTAATCAGGGGTACAAACAAATTTCACAGTTACATCTTCGAAAATAAGCGCAACAGGTTGACTAATCTATTATGACCGATAGTGCCCCGGTTAAAGTTTGTTTGTACCGAGGGATTAGCATGGAAAAACCCCACATTTGCCGAGTTCTGGATAACATCTACATGTATGTATATTTGGGCACACGGCTACATGTACTGTTGGAATGATGGAGGTGCTAAATTATTTCCCTTGATAAAGCATCTTGATACTGAAACATTTTAACATAACTTACACAAAGGTTAATTGTGAAGTATGAGAGCAAAGATCTACAAGAGGAGACAATATTCACAGTAACAACAGTCCCCACAATATCCTATAGCAACAGCACCGAAATGGACAATAAACCGAATTAATAATTTATCAAATATACTTTTCAAAGCAAAATCAAAATGATAAAAATCACTTTAAAGATATATAGAAATCATATTGGTTCGGTGTTGTGTGATAATATTAAGATATTATGGAAATGTATATTTTGTATTGGCAGCAATGCGATGCGCCCGAAGAAGTTTCGCAAGATACTAATACCGCTTCCATGTGTACTGAATGCTGTACTGGTGATTTATGTGCTGGTTGCCAATTTAAAGGTGATGATATAATTTAGATATAATTATCTTAATAAATATTAAATCACAATTTACATGTAAAATATTGAGAAGAAAATTACCAAATGTTCCATGACAAGATGTTCTGTAAATTATGAAAATATCTATATTGGATTGCGAATGGTCATTTTATACACGACAATTAATCATGTATCGTCTTTGTTACGGAGTCATTCCTTCATTTGAGGAAAAATAGAAATTACCTAGGTTATACTAAAGGTCAAGACTTTCAAATCAATATTCGTGTTCTTTAAATATTATATAGATGTTTTTACTGTACAATACAACCTATCATGAAAATAAACACGTTAACTTATGCCACTGTTTAAGAAAAAACGTGAACTCGGACGCGAGACACTCTAACGACTGAGCTGTCTGGCCGCAAACAAATTTTCTTCTCACCTACTTTACTGTTCTATTTTCAGGCATATGTGTCCTCGAATTTCTTATGGATACGAATAGAGTCCCATGATGCAGACCAAGTGTCAATGTATGAGACACATATATATCGAACCTTTCACCCCGCGAATACCGTTTTGCAGAACTACCTTCTGTTATCTTCCCAGCTACTTAGATTTATTTGCCCGATATGAGTTAGGTGAATAGGATTTATAGTTTTTGGAATAACAAACGATGATAATGATTAATGATTCAACAACTTTGTATTTTTTCCTCCATCTTAATTAAAACTGTATATTGAATACTGTATATTGAAGGCTACCCTTCACCACGAGGTCCAATATGTTATGATTGCGGCAGCCGACCTAACAACAGCGAAATTCAATGTAGCACGGTAAAAGTGTGCGCAGAAGATGAGGTATTTTTTTTTGAGGCCCTTAAAGGGTAACCCCGTTTATTGTGAACATAGATAAATACATACATACAAACATACATACATACATACATACATACATACATACAAACATACATACATACAAAGACACACACACACACACACACACATATATATATAAACAAACAAACGAACACACAAGGTACATTTTAAAAAAAATAGAAGCCTTGTTTAATGAAAAATTACTTAATTTCAATAAAAATAGTTTTTGTAACCTGTAGCTAATAAATAAAAAAATTTTTCCTAGTCTTTATTGTTTTAAAAATTTAAAAATCATCAAAAATAAATAATAAAATTTGTTTTATCACATACAAATTTTGATATGAAAAATAAAAATAAAAATTTAAAAATGCCCCACTTTTTGTCAAAAATTTCCCTTGTTATTTAAATTTTTTTGTTTTCCTCTGTTTTGGGTATTGGTACTTAATATAATGCTTAGCAGCCTCTAAAGACGGTCTTTTAAAAATTCATTTTACAATAATATATATACGTCTTTACAAATAAAAGCAAAAGATTGGTTTCATAATCAACATTTTGTATGCCTAAAAGAAATTCTATTTTTGTCAAAATGCAAATGAGTACTTTCAAAAAAAAACATTAATCATATCGAAAACAACTTCAAGGTCCAAAAAAGGTGTTCCAAGCTTTCAGAAAATTTGTTGCAAAAACTGCAGTTTGGATTATCTTTGTATTGTATCTTATACAAAAGTTAGTTTGTGCCAAGTATTTTGTGTACATTTCTGTATTGAAACCATTGTAAATTCGTGTTTTTTAGTGGTGTCAAAAATAAGTGAAAAAAATTTATTCCATTCTTTATCTTCAAATTTAGTATTAAGTTTTTGTTCCCATTTAAGTTTACAAACAGCTGTACGGTTATTTAATTTTAATATATTATGCATAGGTTGTGCACCCTTTTCATTTTTTAAAATCTGAGAGAGTATTGGTGGAATATAAGGTCTTGAAACATATTTTAAACTACTAATAGAATAACCCACACTTTTAAGATATTTAACTACTGCGTTACATATGCCTTGAAAATGCAAAAAATTAGCACTCAAATTATAAATTTTATTAAATTCATGGATCTCATATACATCCCCATTCATGTTAAACAAGTCACCTATACACTGGACACCAGCATTAAACCCTGACTTTAAAAATATACTTTTTTTACCAATCAATATATTTGGGTTATAAAGTAATGGATATTCCAACACTTTATCGGAACATGGGATATTTTTTTCACATAATTGAACAAAAGCATTTAAAGTCTTTCCAAAATAAGTTTTTACAGGAGTTCGCTATGGTGTCTGGGTAATGTGAGCCACAATTTAATAATTTATTTATATCTATTAGTTTAGAAACAATATCTAGCCATTTTCCGTTGCTCGTAATGATTCGTCTTATCCAAGTAGTTTTTAATGCAGGTATAAATGCATTTAAATATATCATGTCAAGACCTTCATCTTTTTTCTTTTTTATCAAAACGTCTTTTTTAACTTTGCATGGACCTTGCCATATAAAATCAAAGAATAAAGTTTCTATTTGTTGAATATAAGATTTTGGGGGATTAGGCAAAGAAACAAACAAGTGATTAAAGAGTGACAGTACAAGAGTTTTAATGACAACTATTCTTCCAATCGGTGTAATTAATCTTCTCTTCCACATTTTTTAAATATTTTCTGCTTTTGCAATTTTAGATTTGTAGTTTAACTCTAGCATTTTTGACAAATCTACATGAAACTTAAAGCCAAGCATGTCAACATTTTGCTGATTCCAAGATAATTTCCATTTTGTTTTTATACTGTTTGCACTAAATTTTTCTTTTCAAATCCAGACGACTTTTGTTTTGTCAAAATTAACTTTCAAACCAGAAAAAAAAGTAAAAGGGGGAAAATTGTGTCAAAGGGTTTTCTTTTAAAGAAGGGGTCGCCACTAAAATAATTGAAGTATCACTGCGAAGAGAAAAGCTTTTTTTCCCCATATTCTTTTAATTCCCAATTTTAATTTATTGTTTTTTGCCCTAATTTTCGGGGCGAAAGTTTTTCGGCAATAAAATAAAAAATAACAATTTAAACGGATCCTTCCGGCACAAAGCTGAATCTAAAAAATTTGTTTAAAAATCCATTTTAAAAATATTGTAAAATCCAATCTTTATAGAAAATGCTAAACCATCTTTTGATGTCTTCTCCAAAATTAAAAAGTGTCAACGTTTTATCTACAAAACCCCAAGACAAAGAATCAAAAGCCTTTTCGAAATCAAGAGGTAAAAAGAGGTAAAATTAATTATTTATCATCGTCAAGTTTCTTTCACACTGTTATTATGCAAGCTTTATTCGGGGAATATGTTGACTTTAAGAATGCATGTTTTGAAAGTACTATTTCACGATGAATACATTTTTTTTGTTAAGGCAATGTTTATCAAAGTCCAACAGGTTATAAACAGTAAATACGAGGAATGTTCGAAATGTATTGCTTATTTCTATCTGAAGACTTCAAATTTCTAGTCAGCTCAAAAGTGTTCATTTCATGCCCTCAAAGTACTCCCCGTGGGTAGAAATGCAAAGTTTCAGCCGATGTATCCACTTCTTGATGGCGTCACGGTACACTGATTTGGGCACAGTAATAAGGTACTGATGAATGGCAGACTTAAGTGCCTGTCGGGACTTGTATTTTCGCCAAGCAAGGAAGGATTTCAATTTCGGAAACAAAAAGATATCACATGGGGCAAGGTCTGGAAAATACAGGGGAGAGGCAAAACAGTTACTTTTTCTTTTTTTTTCAAAAACGCCGAAACTATTGCGGAGGTATGAGCGGGTCATTGTCATGTAGATATGCTTAAAACCAGTGACAGGGCGTCGTTTCTTATAATACCTTTTCAGTGTCTTAAGTTCTACGTCTTTGTAGTTCTTCCCAGTGATACTTTTGCCCTTTTTCACCAGCACTTTTATTGCTCCTCCTTCACCAGAGAAGAAAATTGCATACAAAACCTTCTTTGCACTCAAAGACCGTTTGGCAATTATTTGGCGTTTATTGTGTTTAGTGGCCCATATTTTGTTGCTAACTTTTCTGACGGTCTCAAAATAATGGATCCAAGCTTCATCACCTGTGACAACATTGGCAAACTATTTTTTTGCAATGTTTTGGAAACATTTGAAGCAGCTTTTTGGCCACCTTAACCCGTTGCCTCTTTTGTTCATCTGTCAACAGATGTGGCACCCATCTAGCAGAAATCTTTCTGACTTTCAAATGCTTCTTCAAAATAAAATGAACCTTTGATAGTGATATGCCTACCTTTCGTGCAATATCACGAACTGTAAATCTGGCATCTCCTTCAATGATATCCTTTATTTTGGAAACGATTTTGAGATGCAGATTTTGACCTACCTGATTTTGGTGCATATTTGATGCACTCTACACCAGACTCAATTTTTTTTTCATCGCCTAACTGTGTCATAAGACACACAAGAAGGCCCATAAGCAGTACAAAGTTCAGTCATCAACTGCTTCAAAGAGCAACCCAGTTTTGAGCGAGCTTTGATGTAATCCCGTATTCATCTTTTTTGTCGACGCTTATACCAACCATTTTTAGCTCGACTATTCGATAAGAATAAATAGAGCTTTTGAAATCCCCCGGGGGCGTGGGCGTGGTTCGGGCGTCTGCGTGGGGCCCCGGCGTCGGCGTAACTACTTTTTAAAATTTTTTGGGAAATGAAAAATTTTTTTCAAATTTCCTTGGGACATTTGGGTTTGAAACTCAACATTTGTTCACCAACAGAGCCCCAACCCTGTAGACAGGAGGAGGAAACTCTAAAAAACAGCTTTTTTAAACCAAAATTTACCCCCTTTTTGGGACTTAAAATTTTACGTTAAATTTTTTTAATTTTTCAAATTTTTTAAAAGCCCATTGATAAAATGGTTTAAAATTTTTTTAACTTTTTCCCCACTTTACTTTACCCAACCTGTGACAGGAGGGGGGGAATTGTATAAGTTTTTTGACAGAATTATCCCCCTTTTTGGGCTTAAAATTTTTACCTTAAATTTTTCCTGAAATCCTAAATATTTTAAAAGTCCAAAACCCATATGGCTTTGAAATTTGGGCACATTTTTCCCCCCATCCCCCCAAAACCTTTTAAAATGGGAGGTAAGAAACAAGCATTTTTTTTTACTACCCAAAGCCTAAAAAAAGGGTCGAGCTTTGGGCGCCCAACCAAAGGGTCTTGTTACTACAGGGTCTTGATGCGTGATTTATGTCTTACACTTGTTTTAACATGAAAAATTTTTTTACCCCTTGTTTTAATTAAAGTAATTCAATTAATATGGGTTTTTTTGTGTCCCGTGGATCACGAGATGGGGACAAAAAAGAATTTTTTTCGAACCCCCCTCTTATTTTTTTAAACAGTGAACTGAACTACAATTGGGGAAAAGGGAAATTTCGGCAGGGGTGACATTCCCAGCAGAAAAATCGTGTTCAAATTTGCCAAGGGTCTTTGACAGTATTAAGGGGGGAAAAATAAACAGATATGTGCGGGTTAAATTTATTGTTTTCTTTTAACTGTGCACATATAATTTTTTTTATATTTTTGTCCAGGCGTGCATGCTTCAAAAACCATTAAAACGACTTAAAGATGGACATTTTGAATATCAACTCTTGCAAAAATGTAAGCGAGCACATGTAAGTTTTATTTTAATTGTAAACTCAAATTGATACGATTAGAAATGTCAAGTTATCAAAATTCTAGCAAAACGTTCATGATTATACTTTAGTTTTAAAACGCACAATGATTTATTTGCTTAAAATGTTTCTCTTTTTCTTTTGCAAATATTCTAAGGTACACAAAGTTCAAACAAATCCTATATACAGTTTTCATATTTAGTTTATTATATGCTAACCTTAGAAAACCCTGTAAATTGAAATGCATTATTGTATCGCCCCATTACACTGTCATATCACTGGGAAATGGGGATTGCAAAATAAACGTCAATTTTGGTATTGAATACGCCGAGGTAACCTGATCAACACAACATTAAAAATGTTGAATCATTTTTTTATCTACATCCTTAGTAAAATTATATTAATATTTAATGGGTTAAAAATTTAAAACAATATGTCCTATAATTTAATGAGTTATTAACTTAAAATACAATTTAAAGTGCAAAAAAATAACCCTAGGCCCATCATTCCAAGTATGATGGAAGTAATACTAGTACTATAAGTTTGACAAATTTCTTTTCTTTTCAATAAAACCATCAGTTTCCGTTTTTGTCTGCTGATTACTATACGAATTCATCCCAGTCCGCAACATTTGCTAATTTTTGGCACAGTTCCCTGCGTTATCAACTATTTTCACACATTCCCTGTGTTACAAAGATAAAACTGCAATAGTATAATTTGAGGAGAAGAAGTATAGTAAACTGCAATATTTTTATGTTTAAAAAATGTACGATGTTTTGATATTAAGGGAAAAGTAAATAAAGAATGAATATAAGCAAACAAAATTACCAAAGCTATAAAGGAATATCAATAAATAATTTCAGAACACAATGGTCGATTTTGTCAAAAAGAATTTTCTGCTTACTGGCACCTAATTTAAAACTAAATATCTTTTTTTCAAACGTAGAAAAAATTTAAATTTGTTTTTGTGAATATTTCAGTAAACGTTAAAGGTACTTTGTTGTGCAAATATCATATGACAGAATTATAGATTAAGACTTACTATTGATAAAAAATTCAAATAGATCAATTCTTCAAAATGAGTTTTAGATTTTCCATGTATTCATTGCAGGATTGATTATCATCATTCAAAAAAACTATTATATTTAAATTTTTCAGGTTTGTTATTACATCGTGCTTGAGCGTCAAAAATTGAAAATTGGAAGTGTTATCCCAAATCATTTGGTAAACGACAAGTGCGAGCTATGTTTCCGAAAAGTATGTACCTTATCTGTAATTCTTCACTAATCATGCAAGTAAATACAAAAATTTTGTCTTGTTCATAAAATAACGTTGATTGGCTGATTGTTATTGCAGTATAATGAGTTTCTTAAGAGTTAACTCGAACTTAAACAATTGAGTGCTAATGAACCTTCGCAATTCTGCACAATGTACAGTAGTTGTGCTGCTCGAGTTACATACGTTGTCATTTATTCACTGTGCCAAAAAAAAAACAAATTCAAAAATATATTCTACGGGTACATGTATTTACATGAATACACAATGACGTGAATAATGTTGTTATTTCATACAAAATATTGTTTGTACAAAAGCATCAAATATGGAAAATAACAAGTAAATGTACTTAGTCGTATCGGCAATGTCCACCGTATCCCCTAATGACGTCATCAAAGGGCGAAAAAGGGCCTATACTGTGTATAAAACCATCCACTTCAAGTGAACGCAAAGAAATGGTACAAGTTTGGCTTGTGTAAGTCTTCAATGAATTATAACTGTAATCTTTAGTAAAAGATGTTTGCTGTCGCAAAATCTCTTACACGTTGAATAGTAAAAGAAATCTGGAAACAAAGTGATCCCTCGGAAACATTTATCACAACAAAATTAGATGAAAAGTGCAGACTCTGTTTGATTGGATCTGTGTAACATGAGAGATAATGAATAAGTGCAACATCCCTTGCACCGGCTTGAGCGGTACTCAAGACATGCATTAAATGATATTATGATTCCGTGTCTATACTGTGTTTAAGGTCTCAACCCGGTACGGAATTAGACCCAACCCGTTGTAGTCTAGAAAGTAGTTCTTTAAAATTTTGAAGTGGCCCAATTTAAGTCATCTCTAGTTAGATTGGTCATAATTAAAGTGTATTTATTGCATGTGGTGTAGTTTTTGTGTGTTATATGATGTGTTAAATAGCTGTTTTTGTGTATTCTCCAGGAACTCATTTGTTGGCGGAAGGATTAAAGATGTACCACCCACCAGCAGTCAGGAGTTTTTCAAAGTGGTGAATTTAAACTGTGTTACAACAGAGTGAAGATTTCTGAAAAAAGTAGATGGCTAACCTATTATATTTTGGGCCTCATTTGACTTAAATAGTGTTGATGTTTTAAAGTTGAAGACAGTATATAATTCATCAAGAACAGTGGAATCCAGAATTAAGCCTCAAATGTGACTGATTTACTATAGAACAAAGAACACGAAAATTCACCAGGCCGTCACCAAGAGGAGAAATTTGAAAAATGGGAACTGGTTGATGGATATGGATGAAACTTTGCATCAGTGTTGTGTTTATGCATAGAAAATCAGGAAAATAAAGGATAACTGACAGGTTTGAAAATTTTAAATTTTATTTCAAATTTTTAATTTTGACATTTTAAATTGGGACAGATGTTGTTATTGTTATCTCCCCTTCCAATGTAGATGTCTGCTACTGTGTCAGTAGGTGCAGAAGAAGGGTACAGAGCTTTTGCATGAAGGATTAACCACATTTTATTGAATTAAAACTGTAAAAATACATTTAAAATTAAAAAATGAAATTTAAATTTTGTTTAAAGCAGTTAATAAATTGATAAATTTTATTTTTTAACCCTGTATTTAGCAATTTACTAGATCTTTAGCTTATTTTTTATAAGATTTATATGGAAAATGATAATTTTTAGAGAAATGCATCTTAAATTATGGATAAACCATGTATTGCAAGAAATTGGGGAGTGCATGTTTTCAGGCTGGTTACATTGGCAAAAAAAGTGATTGGCAAGCTCATTCGAGAGGTCTCTAAGGGGCCCAAAAAGCACCGGCCATGGGATTCGAACAAGCACCATAGTAGCCTATTGCTCATATGGACCACGCATTATATGCACTGATGTTTCAGCAAAGTATTGATGCTGTAGTAATCAGATTGTAAATATTCACTATTGTCTTGTATTTCAATGAAGCAGAACTGACAATTGAACAGGACAAATGTGATTTACGTGTTGGAAATATAGGCATTTTCAGTGTGGTGAAACTTGATGTTTTGCTGTGCTGCAGAATGTATTTGCTAATATATACACACAAAAGATTTTCTAGTCATTAAACAGTGAGTTTATGGATAATTGGCTCATTTAGAATAACACAGTTGATGTGATTGTTGTTGTTGTTGTAGCAGCTGCTACAACAGTTAAATTAGGTTAGGTTTATAATGTCTAAACTGTTATTTCCATGCAGGCATGCATTTTTAAGCACACAATATTTAAGCCTTCCTGTGTGAATTAGCAAATCAAGCCATTGATTAATTAAGAAATTATTTTCTTTATTTTTTGGATATCAGAATAACAGCATTGGAATCCAGAATTAAGCCTCAAATGTGACTGATTTACTATAGAACAAAGAACACGAAAATTCACCAGGCCGTCACCTTAAAGGATATGAGCCGCGTCATGACAAAACCAACGTAATGCGTTTGCGAACAGCATGGATCCTGATAAGACTGCGCGGAGGCGCAGGCTGATCTGGATCCATGCTGGTCGCAAACCCACTATGTTGGTTTTGTCATGACGCGGCTCATATTCATTTTTGACGATGCTAAGTAAATCTATTTTGTATCAATTGAAGGTCGTTCCTGTGTTATAAAATGTTGTGGAACCGACTTGTGTAATGACAGATGCAATCTTACGACCTCTTTCTCGTAACCTTCAGCTGGGGATTTGACAACAATCTAAAGGCAAGTAAATGTGGTTGTTTTGTTTCAGTATTTTTTTTACTTCTTAAATAGTATGAGATTGAATTGTGTGCCATAAAAAATAAATTCGAAACCGTTACTGTTGTACGAAATGCGAGTTATGTTGATACGGTAAACTATACTATATTTAAAGCAGCATGCCTCCAGATTCATGCTAATGTTAAAGAAAATGTTGAAAATGTATTTGAAAGTAAAATATTGTGACGTACGTGAACAAAGAAAGAAATTTACACATTGCAAACAGCACTTACAATCCACGTCAATTACCAAAAAGAGGTCAATATATATATATATATCGTAGATATATAAATACCTCTTACTGCGTTAGTCAGTAGAATTATAGTGACGATTGATACTGCAAAATCAGTCCTTAATCGCACGTAACATGTAAATGACTGATAAAATGATTAATTAGATATTGAATCTTTTACTTTTCTTAAGATCTTGATAAATTTTTCTTAAGATTGAATTTCTTGAAATATTTTGGCTCATCTGGAGGCGTGCAGTTTTAACGGGTACATTAAAATATAGAGATCTGACATAATAGCTATAAGAACTGATATACGGAATAACTATTTCGTATAACACTTGGTTATATTTAATGGTTGTAATTCATGTGTGTTATAAACTTGTCTAACACATAAGCGTTACATTTTTTTTTTCTGTTTTTTTTTTTTCGGAAAAGTTGATTCTAATATCCTAAGTATTAAAGATTGAAATGTCACTGAAACCGTCACATGTAGACGTGACAGAATTTTCACTTTAAATTCAGATGTTCGACTATGTACCGTTGATATGTGTGGATCTTCATATTGTCAGCATCATTTTAGATTTTATGTCATGTGTTGCTGAATTTTAACCAGTCTGTGTTTTCATGTGTCCGACTATATATTCCAATATATTGTTATGCATATACGTACCACATCGAAATTCAAACGTACCAAAATCAGTCCTAACCAGAATTTATGTCAAAATATGATACATAAAGCAAGTAGTTACACTTTTATCAATTCGACCAGCAACATGTGTATTTATATTTAGTATTGTTTGCTTTTTCTCATGGAAGTCATATACTTCTTTTATTTCAGTGCTGAGAAAAGTAAAAATGAATTATGCTTTTTGAATTGCATAGATATCTTCAAAAATGAAACTTAATAAATTTTCTGTAAACAATATTATCTGTTAGTTTTTCCTTTTATTTGGACATCCATAGCTGAGTGTTAAAGTACTTTGAAGCATGTACATTCAATGGCCGTAGGGGCAACGTCAGTTAAGAGCTTTTGATTCTTCCGCGATATCCTTGACTGTCTTCATACCTAAAAAGTCGTTGATTGTATTCAGCACCCACTCTGGAGTGAAATAGTGCACAAGAAAGCAGAGACTATGACACTTCATTTGTGAACCTCGAAGGTCAAAATATGACTTAGTTCGATCATTACTTTTGCTTGAATCATAGCTATCGTTCGACTACATGCTAATTAAACGTTAATTTTGCAGGAATTATTTGTTACCTCTAAATAATACCAAAAACATCGTTTGCAATTATATCAAAGTTATGTAATTTGTATATATACACTGTATATAACATTTCTAATGAATGTTTTCGTAGCAACAGTATTATTTAATTGCAAATAATATCGAAATTAAAAGTTACATTGAACTATTTCTGTCATACGTTGACGATTTCAGTTGAATCTCAGTAAACATACATTCAAGTGGTCGTAAGACTAGTGCGTGTCGTGAAATATGAAAAGACTTCCTTATGTTTATAAGAAAATAATCAAAACTAACAACAAATATTATAATAATGTATTTATTTTTACTAAACGCCTAACAAAGCAAAAAACATTCATTCCAAAAATATTCATATATAGCTGTTTTCATAGTGGTAATAACTGCATTTGATGTGTGTTCTCCAGTATGTGGTTTAATTCCAAACGTCTGTAAAAATCTTTAATAATACAATTTGACATCATTTTATTCTTTTTGTATAAAAACTATCAAATGATGAACATATAAAGGTCAACAGTATCTAGATGATCATTCAACACAAGAGACTCAAAATCAAAAGAGCGATCAGTGATTTGACATTTGTTAAGCAGTTGTTGACCAGTTTATA